CTGTAGAAAGGATAAGAGAGACTCCGAGATATTCAATCAGGTAAACTTATGATATTGCAGATCAAATAAAGCATGAGCTATAAGAGCAGGCACGTAACATCAGCCCCCCCCCCTTTTCAGACCTAACTTTTTACTTTAGTAATGTTCATTGAAAGTCCTGTTGGCCCCACTTTTTGTTGCAGTATAGTCCCGTTGCCCCCACCCCCTTCCGCCGGGAAATAGGATTCTGGGCAATTTTCCTTTTTTGGTTTTGGTTGTGAAGTCTTTTCAGGTAAGTTAATTTTTTTTCTCTGGCTCCCCCCCCCTTTCAAAAACGACGCTACGTCCCTGAAAAGTAACATGTAGAGATGTCTGTCCTGGCATATATAGAGAGATTGTCTATCAAATGGCATGTTCAACGCAATAGCAGCAATAAGAAACTCGCCGACAGTTTTTTTTTAAATTCCAAATTGCTTTTTAATTTCTACAGATATTTATAATCCTTTCAATGTATGTTCGTGGATTATAGATGGAATAATTTTAGTTACATGTCAAGTTTAATTTTATGGTGTTTGTGCTTTGTAGGAAGGATTTGCTAAATACTTATAATTTTCTATGATTGTACTGCAAAGTAGATACATGTTTTAAAGCAGAGCTGCCGCTCAAGAATTATTTCTGTCGTGTAGATCTAGAGGTCTTTGTGTATATATCATAGGTAAAAGTACCAATACCGAAGATCACATCCCTTCAAAGCTATATTATTCTTGTTTATTACGCCCCTTGCAGTAGCGGATCCAGGAATTTCATAAGGGGGGGGAGCAGAAGGCAGGGGAGGGGTCGGGGGCTGCATTGAAGCCCCCAGTGGGTCTATGACAAAGCCCTGGTTGGGATCCAGGGGAGAAACCCCCAGAAGTTGACAAATTCTTACAAATAAGAGATGTTTTTTCCTTGATTTTAGGATAATGGACATATAAGTTCTACATACAAAAAATTCAAACGGAAAGGGGGGGGGGGGGGACGTGCACCCAGCGCGCCGGCCCTGGATCCGCCTTTGCTTTTTTTATTTTATACAATGTAGTTATGCACCCCACCAACCCTGCTTGTGTTCAAGATGCTTCAGTCGTTTGTTTGCATTATAACTTAACAAGAAGTCCGTGATTTTTTGTGTGAAGTTTAGTTTTTAAAAATCTGAAAATGACAGGCTAAAAGGATATGTATTATTGATGAAAATAATGAAATTGGTAATCAAAGTTCAAAATACATGTGCGGTGGCGATATTCAAAATTTACAGGAAGTCGTTTGGCTTTTTAATACACTTAAAGATGTGGTCAACAGGAAAGATTTTGAATGGTTTGATAAATACACACCGTGCATCACAGAGTTGACCAATATGAATGCATTATGATCAGGTCACGTGGTAAGTACCTCTATCACAATAATTGACACGTGGAGCACCTGAATGGATTTCTTATAATTAATTTAAAAATTTATTTTTAAAAAAATGAAGATATTAGTTAATAAAACTGTAATGGTTTGGGTCGTGGATATCGGCCTGGGTAGCTCAGTCGGTACAGCACCTGACTAGTGATGCAGGGGTCCCGAAGAAAATTAAAGAATATTTGTTAAAGGTACATGTATAGTCAATCAGATTAGAAATACAGCGACTATCAGAATTTCGGGCCGTAAAAAAGATCTGACTTTGATTAGATTTTAGGTGTAGGCGAATGGTGTGTACTGAAGGGGTTAGTTAATTCATTCAAGATTTATTACATTGTTCGTTTGGACGAAGGCTTCATAAAAATGTACACACTGCCTGTACAGGTACTCATCAATGAATGTTCGGATTAATTCAAAAATCGGCGGACATTAATTTATTTTAGTTATCTAAAGGCAGTGTTATTTCCAGAGACATTTATATTTTCTGTTTTTTATGTCTCGGATTTTTCTTTTTTGTGATTTACCGGTTTACAAAGGCCTGTGTTTTAACAGCTGTTCATAAACGCTGTCAATTAATATATGATCAGAGAAAACGAGACATCTCCCGGTAATTCATTTCTTATGGAAAATATATGGATTGACATCTTAGTATTTACCTGTGTAATTACGATGTTACAAACCGTGACGATGACTGGCCAGGAGGACTACCCGTTATAAAAACAACTCATGATCAACTCAGCGGACCTATAATTCACTTTAATATATGCTGTAAAGCAATAAAGTCATTTCAGTTTAACCGATATTTTATTGCAAAGATAATGGGGAAAAAAAGACTTGGGATTTAGAATTTTTCTGTATTTCAAACGCTCGATATGCATATATTTGGGGCGCTCTTGCATATGCACTTATACAACGTGCATGTTCTGTACTTGCATGCTTGTACATTGTATGTGTCCGTTAAACCTTAAGAGAGCTGATAAATGTGTTCTGATTTTCAGAAAAAATAATGGGAACCTATAAATAATTACATGTTTATCATTTTGTTCGCATACAATAACAAGTTTAGTAGAAAAAAATAATTTGTTCAGGGTTAGGTGTCTAATAAATTTGTAATATTCAAATACAGTTACGCATGTATGTCTCATTCTACATATTTTGGAGGCGCGTGTGAATGTGGGATTTTGTATTTCCATGTATACTTATAAAACGCTCGATATGCGTATATTTGGGGCGCTCTTGCAAATGTATATATACAGTTGTACATTTTAAGGGCGTCGACAAAAAAACGTATATTGGATTACATACATGTACATTTAAGTTTCAAAAGTTCCATTACTAGTAGGAATTAATTAAGGTAACATATTTTGAATTTTATTTTAAATAAAACAGACAATTACCTCTATATAGAGAAATAAATTGTTTATAAAAATAACTATGCAACTTTCCTGTAATTCAGCGAATAAAATATTAAATAAAATGCACTAGCGATTTAATCAAAGATATGAAATAATCTGAAAGATTCAACATATTTTTCCGCTCATGACTTAGTTTACAAAATGAATTTGGAATGGCCATTCTATGATTTGTTTTGTGTATGACTAGGTCTCTGGATCACACGCCGATTGATCCCCGGTGACCTCCTTTGCCACGCGCTATCGAGGGAGGTGTTACATAATTGTAAACACACAAGGTGAATGTAAAAGGCAGGCACTTAATGGCTGTGAATAGTCTATGCTTCAAAGTTATGTTTTATTTTCTCATTATATTGCTTGTTTTTATACGATAAGAAGAAAAGGTTATCTTTTTTCCCTTTTTTTTATTAGACTGGTTTATTCGACTTTGAAAAAAATGAAATAAAAGGAAAAGTTGTCAAAAAATAACTTGGAAATAAAGCACAAAACACTTCAAAAACCTTATTCTAAAGAATATTAGCATCTAATGTAGCCGGATTTATTATTTATAGTAAGTTTATTTTAGTTACACGCATGAAGAGCTCTCGTTTACTTGCTGAATGAAAACAGTAACCTGTATATGGGTCAAGCTTCTGGCGCATTTAAAACACAAGACTCGAACAAAATAACAATTTCATGAGATCAATAAGATGTTAAAGAACAACTTTTTTACCGACAGCCATTTCGAAATATTTACCGTTTTTGAGTTATAAAGCAAAAACTTTAAAGGGCTCCAGATCCCTAATTTTAGGGGCCAGCCCCTTTTTAGTGATGTCAAATGAAAGGCCTTAAAATTGTGCACAACTTTTATTCTACATGTCTTATCAAAATATTTTTAGTTTTAAAGATACAAAGGAAAATATGTGTAAATTTTCGCTCTTTTAGGCGTTCTAATATTTGACTCCTATATAGCGCCATTTTGAATACAGAAATCGAAAAACAAAACCCGATGTGCACAACTTCAATCCTTCTATTATTTAAATTCGGTAGAATTTCTGCTCCAGCTTTTGTAGTCTCGGAGCCTTTGTCTGGAAATGAAGACAAGTAATTTTTCATTTAAAGGGAAATAACTCAAAAGCGGAAGTGACTTTTTGACATGTTTGACAGCATTCCGATAGAGTTTTGTAACGTCTATAAACCCTGCAAATTTGAGCAAAATCCGTTGAGAAATGAGCGAGATATGAGGTCTCAAAGTTGGCGTCTAGGAAAAAGAAGAAGAAAAAAAAGAATAATAATCTTAACCATCAGAATCAGTAGAAGGTCTTCCGTTGGAAACGGAAGACCTTAATAATCTTAACCATCAGAATCAGTAGAAGGTCTTCCGTTGGAACGAAAGACCTTAATAAATCAAAACTTTAGACAAAGAAGTATGGATATTGTGGAGAGTACTAATGCTAAATTTAAATCAATTATTATTATCAGAATAAATCATAATATGCTTGTGAGTAAAAATCACATTGCTGATATTTTTTATCCACTTTTTCAATAGTTTTAAAAACAACTCTGTGTATAAGTTATGTTGTTAGCTGATCGAGGCAGACAGATCAGGGAAAACAGGTAGAAAATTCTGTAAGAACTAAAAAGAGGTTGTCTTTGCATAGTTTGAAAGAACATACCATATAAGCAGTATTTTTAGCGAGGATTCAATTTGGGCATTATTAGCGAGGGTTTTGAGACCGCTAAAATTGAATATAGCTAACAAATTTATTCCATACTAGTTGTAATAGCTATCTTTCTTGACATTACAAAATCGCTTAAATACTTCTTGTTAAAATTATATATCATTTTTTGGGGATAAATCGCTAAATTTGCGTCTCGCTAAAAGTCCACTCTTACACAACAACGACCCTTTCCCTATGAACAGATACCTAAAATGTGAGATTTGATGTCCAAGAATGAAGAAAACCTGAAATAGCAAATGTTTTGAGCTTATTCCTCCCTTTGATTGTAAAAACCCCATATATGTACACTCAATGTTTCTGTTACGCTATTGTCATTTATAACGTATTTCTCATTATAAGTACTCACTTAGTAAACATATCTGTAGTACAGGTATAGGAATGAAAATTATTTTTACAGCATATTTCATCTACATATACATTTTATCAAATACTTGAACCTTTAACACATAGGTTAAAAGAGAACATATTTATTTCTAATGTTTTAAAAAAGTTACAACAGATCAACAAAATTGACACACCCCCTCCCCCACACACACACACTTTAAATGCCATAGGTCTTTATTTAAATGAAAATTGGAATAATGATATTTAAGATTCAGAATTAACATAATTATGAAAAAAAAAAACAAAACAAGAAAGGTTCTGAAAGAAGATTAAAATTTGCACATGACTTAATTCTTAATTATAAGGTAAAAAGGGTATTTTTGAGCAAGAAGAGTTTTATAAAACGAAAAGAAGTATAAAATATTATGAACGATCTCTGAGAGGATAACATTGCAAAACAATAGCGTATGCAAAGTCTTTTTTTGTACATTCCTTCTTTAGATTACAATTACAAACGACCCCACACAAGAACTTCTGCAACAGACAAGTAGTTGTTCCATCCCTCCATAATCTGTATCTTTACATATCGACCGAATGTGTTAAATGGACAAAACACTGCGATCCGCTCCCCAGATCTGGTACAAGAACCAGTAAAATGGCCGCATAGATGCATGTCGTGCAAATCATTGCCTACTCTTATATCAACGTCATGAAGTCGTTCAACTGAAAAAAAATCAAATAACAAAAAATTATAGAATAATATAATATATGTATCTAGGCTAAATACAAAGTGAAATGAGATAAAATTCAAGAAAACCCCTGAATAAATTATCCATGTACCGTCATGTACCGGGTTTCTTCAGCGGGTGTAAAATTTGGCGCTTTGCTTTCTTAAAGGTATACAAATAATTTTAGAGAAAATCTTTTTCACGGACACTGGGTTTCGTGAATTTGCAAACTAATAACATAATTTGCTACCGCTAAACAGAAAAGTGCTTCAGGTATCGTAGATATTCGGATAGCTGTCAGATGGGTCTTTGTTAGGTTTGAATGTTTAAATATCAGTTTACTAAGAGTTCAAAGAATTTTAATGTTTACTGACAGACTGTTATTTTTCTTGTGTTTCAATATACTTACAAGCAGTGGTGTTAATTTAGCGATAAAAACTACAGCAGTATTCTACCAAATACTGCTGTATTCTACCAAAATCCTTAAATAAGCCAAATTTAGCACCCTGCTTAAAATCACGTTATACCCTAGTTGCCAGTTGCAAGAGTAAATGAAATTTTTCGTAAACGTACCACAACAGCCTCTCCTACCAAATACTTCTACTTCATGAATCGTGTAGTTCCTCCCAAGATCAATCCTAATCCATGGATTTTTTTCAAGGTCTGTGTGAGTGAAGTCCGTAAAGATACCGTTAACAGCATTATCTGGGACACTTCCCCATCTAAAGTCCGTGCTTTGCCTTACGGACTTTCCATATGCCACATTCGTAAGAACATTGTGGCCCATTGTATATTCTATTTTACTGTTGTAAGCTAGAAATAAGATAAATAACCAGTAACAAATCATTATTTCAAGCGAAAAATCTTCCTTTGTGTTGACAATTGCCTAAATCTTATGTTTCTCTTCAAGCGCGTTTCAGCTGCCGCTTTTAAACACAAGGAAGATCTTAGCAGAAGCGAACTTTTTAAATTGCGATAACAATTACGATAAGGAGGCACTTACAACCATTTACCTAGTACATTTTATGTACTTGTAATTACTTTAACTCTTATATAGAGGAAAAGCTTTTTTTGACCAATCATAGTCCTGAATTCACAGACTCTAAGTTCCATAGAAATGGTGAACTATATGGAGTAGAAGTGTGGATTACCATTTCAATGAACGCCATGATTGGTTGGGAGGAAACACTAAAAATAAGAGGACGATGGATTACATCGCCCACTTGAGCACTTTGGCTACAGAAAAGCATAAATCGGTTCAGTACAGAAAAAAATTAAATATATAAGTAATCACTTCCTTTTCTTTCCCCAACCCGAGACGGGCAGGGGAGGGGGCATAATTTAAACAAACTTGAATCTACAAAACCTGAGGATGCTTACTTATATCTATGACTTATATCATGTCTTTGCTGTTCTTAAGAAAAGTTTAAACGAATTTCAAATGTTTCTTATGTAAAACTTTGATCGCCCATTGTGAGCCCACCGAATCCAACCCCGGGGTTCATGATTCCAACAAATTTAAATTTATACTACCTGAGGATGCTTCCATACAAATATGATTAATCGTGGCTTTGCTGTTCTTGAGAACAAGGTTTTTAGAGATTTTTCCCCTATATACTCCAATATAAAAATTTTATTGCATAATGTGGCCCCATCCTAGCCCTGAGGGTCATGATTTGAACAAATTTGAATTTACATGTACACTACCCGGGGATGCTTCCCCATAAACATGACTTATCATGACTTTACTATTCTTGAGAACAAGATTTTAAAAGATTTTTCCTATATATAACTATGTAAAACTTTAATCTCTTATTGTGGTCCCGCCCTAGCCCCAAGGGTCATGATATGAACAAACTTGATTTTTCACTATGTAATGAAGCTTTTACAAGTTTCATCTTTTCTGGCCAATTTCAATTTGTGTCAATGCCGACCTCAAATTTTTTTTTCATAATTCTTTCAACTTTTTTTCACTGATTACTAGTGCACTGAATTTGAAAGCGTTTCCTTCCATATATCTTCTTTAGAATACAACGGAATATGGGATCTAAACCATCACCTCCTCTCAAGATGGGCTGATCAATCATAAATTTATTCTACAGACAAGGCTTTTATCTTAAGCAATTTCTTTGCAATATGTTCCTGCATTCTCGTATTTTTTTAACTACAAGTACAATTTTTTTCTTCTAAAATTTTCCTTGAAAAAACCATCTTTATCTGAATCTGAAGGCTAGTTATCATCTTTATTGAACAGTCCATCAAAACACTTTGCATGCACAGCTGCAGTAACACCTCCAGCTCAAAGAAATGGAGACCAAAATAACATTTATCTCAATATATAGATTTCAGTGCAGACAGAAGAATTTCTCCGGCTTTTGTATAAGACAGATTTGTAATCACTAAGTACATACCCATGAAGACTTTTACATATTACATATATCCAAAAATTTGGCTCATCTGATCATACACTAATACTACTCTTTATAAATATCTCTTAGAGATCTTAATAGGATAAATCTGGCCGGTAGCGGAAATGGAAACTGTAATATCCTGTCTGAAGCGATCAGTTTTACAATTCGGAATAAAATAGTCAAATGATTATTAAATACACTGATTGTGGGTAAAGGATTGATTAACTGACAATTCTTTGATTCAAGTAATTTTTCTCGACATACATGCTGTTGGCCTCGTGACATTCATTATAAAAGGATGTACAAAATGCATAATTATAGTCTTAAGGAGAAAAAAACGTTAAAGAGAGGAAAAGTTAAATGAGAAAGGGGAAGAGAAGGAGCATAAGAATTAAATAACTCCTGAACAAAGCCTTTATGCATCTTTAAATTCTCAGAACAACAGGAATAACTGCTGACAAATGGAGTAAAATATTCTAAATGACGGTCTAGAAAGAAATAATGATATTCACCTCTTCATATACTCTTCTACTTATTTTCCATAAGAAACATTCTACACAATAATCAGAGAATGGAGGCTTTGTATGGCTATTCAATAGCTTATGCTTCAACTTATTCACTTCCTCGAACCATATACGTAAAATGATACTTTTTATCAATTTTCCTCTCTTTCATTATTTTATTTTTTTCTAATAGACTTATTTTTGAATTTCAACTGTGTAGGAATGGGCTGATCCTCCTTGACCTATGATTTTGTTCTATTCTTATCTTGCGATAGAAGAAATACTTATTCGATTTTTTTTCTTCGTTTCTTGTGATAGAAGAAATACTAGATTTTTTACCCTTTCCTCTCTGACATTCTTAACGCTCTCCAAGAGATCAATGATAAGATTTTAAGATTAATGTACTCAGTTACATTCCGCATATCTTGATCAGAATAAGGAGGGAATTTTGATTTCGTTCTTGTTACGATTAAAAATGTAATAGATATAGAAATACACTCTACAGAATCAAAAGCTCACTTGATAAAATAAAACTGAAATTGAGAACTTCAGTCTTTCAATCAAGTGAAATAATATTCATTTAATCGACAAACATGTGTGCGGCATTTTATTTTCAGATTTGTCGTGAAAATTGTAATCAATCAATGAAAAGGCGCATCAACATTACGAAAAACGTTTATGAAGCAGAGAGGAATTCTCAGACTTATAAAACTTAAGATGTGCCAAAAATTCACATTCTAACATTTAAATGTATTCACAATTTCCAATGATAAAATAAATGACATGTACAAGTTTGCATTTTTTCATTAGGTTAGCATGTTTGTAAATGTCCTGAAAATATCTCACCTATAACCATTTATATCTTTCAAATGAAAGATGAAATATTATCCTTTATACCGAATAAAGATCACAATAAATGGTGGTGAAGGTGCAAACTCTTAACTGCTAAACCGTGTTGTTTTGCAAAATAATTTAATTAAAAATAAAGTTTAGAAATATCTATTGAAACCAATCTTTAGCTGAAAACATTTTCATTTCATACTAATTTTCCGTTTGACTTTGGATACCTTCAATATTTTAGAAGCGATGTACTGGTACATGTATGTTTGTGATCGTAACTTTAGATTTAAAGAGAAAAAAAGAATGTTTGGCTTCATCGATTGAACCATCATATTTTTTGACCAGCCAAGTACTCTTACAAAGAATAAAGAAAATGATTTTAAAATACAAGTTTTCCCAAATGCTACTGATTGTATACGTTGTGCTACAGGTTATCTACTAACATATAATGCATATGTCTTCATAAAATATCAGGGATTTTTTATAAATTACACTCTATGAACTTAATATGCAAACTTGTTTAAAAATGTGATATTTTGTTAACATGGTTATGCGTTAAATACTGGTATTCTTGTATCATAATCAGTTGTTGATTATCTGTACGTAGCTCATACTTTTCTTTGCATGTTTTCACACAAGGATATTTGAAACTTGGAAAGTATTTTAATTATAGTTTAATAGATGTAATTTTAGACAAATGAATATATTTTATGTATACATACCTCTAAGGAATATACTTAATAATTCAGAGAGTTTATGTTTACTTGAAAAAAAAACCCTCTTATAAATATTTTACTTCAGACGAAGTAAGTTACTTTCATAACTAATTGAAAATGAAACAACGTAACTGTCTTTTTTAAGTTTCGCAGATTTACAATGTCCAAATTGGCTGTCTTTGCCATGGAATAAAAAATGTGCAACTTTAAAAAGGAAATGAAATTTTGCAAAATGGTCAATGTTATTTGTTTCCATTACTTTCAGTTTAAACATTTCACCTCTGGGGTCGGTTCGGGCTAATAAAGGGTGTTTTTTTGCTTATAATAACTATTTGTTTGATTATTCTTCATATTTGTTCAACAATGATATATATTTGATAATACATGTATTTTGATTTTATGATTGATTTTCATATTCATAAAATTGTAATCTATATGGAAAACCGTGCAAAAAGAAAGATGAAAAAATTAATTTCTTTACCTTGTAATTTACATGCAAAATATATTGTGAATTATATTTGAAGAATCATTAGATTATCTAATATAAATCACGACATTATCAAATATAAATAACACATAAGTGCATATAAATCAATTTTAAAACAGTAATATATCTAACAACTTTTTCGAATTCAAACTGAATTTCCCAAATAAATATAAAGATTATCCAATATTAATTTAAACATTTAATTATAAAATAACAACTTTTTGTATGAATATGAATTAATAACATGTATTCCAATATGAAAATTATAATTTCAAATTACAATTATACATGTCAAGAAAATGTCAATGAACAAATACAATCCAAATAGAAAAAACAAAGAAGATGGTCGAACAAGGAAAGCAAAATGCATATTATGCGACAAATATGATAGCAAAAAATTAATCTAATTAATGCCAAAATTTTCATCGATATTCCATTTTACAGTAATGTTTACTTTATGTAAAATCTCCACAAATCGCAAAAATCTCACAAAATTTGAAATTATTCGCCTATGAAATAGCATACATATACCAAAAAGAGCAAAGTGGGGCAATCCCACATGAATGGGTCTTCGCTCCATATTTTGAAAGATTATATTTAAAAAAAAACTTACAAAGATACATAGCGGGTTCCAGTAATAAATGTTCTACAAAACCTCTTTCTTTACTTCTCACTAAAATGTTTACTGTATTGAAGGAGCAACTTCAGGAGTACTGTACAACAGTATATTCTAGAAGTGGTGTAAATCAGATGTGGATACTTAAAAACTCCAAAAAGCTTTTGGAAAATTTGAAATCACAAAATTTTACTTAGATCATTAGCCTCAAAACGTACGACTTTCAACACTTTATACAACCATTCCCCACGATAAATTGGCCCGCGTGGCGCAGTG